AATCATGGTAGCTGAATGGAATGTCTATTTTCAGAAGCTCTCTACCATTTTTTTCATCCTTTATGGTTTTCCCAATTGGCCTCTGGACCTATGCTGCAGTTACCTGATCCAGCAGGACTTTTGCTACAGTCTTAACAACTAAGGTCCTTTTCTTCTATCTGAAGCAATATTTTAAAAATGCAAGTTTTTCTTAACTTCAGCTATTAAAACTGCTAATCTAATGTTCAAGTCTACCTGAGTGACTGAGGCCATTTTCAGTATCTTTTTAAGCCAAACAGCTGTTCAGCTGCTGTCTGTTGTCATCTGTCAATTGTTAGGGCCTATCCTCAGGCGCTTTTATGTTATGAAGGTATAAAATAACACTATGTTTTAATTTCATGATTGTATACAGTACCTTATCTATTTATGTCCTTCTCAACAGAAAAATTTGCATCATGTAGGCCTGTTCCATCCCCTTTGACTTCTCTCTTCCTTTTTATAGTCTTATCTTAGTTTGTGAGCCTTTAGGCAAAGCTTTGCTATTATTTAAAATGTAGTCACCTATAGTTCTTCACCTATAGCTGAATAAACTATAAATATCATTTGCTTTCTTCTTTAAATAAGGACACTGAAGAAGCCTTGCTGGGTCACATCCTGAACCTTTCTAGCCCAGCGTTGTCTTCTCACAGGGGCCAAGCCAATGGGAAATTCAAAAGTATGTTAAGAGAGCATACTCCCACTCATATTCCCTAATAAATAGTATTAGGAGCCAGTCTTCTATATCAGAAGCAGTATTTAGTCATCATAATTAGTAGTTGTTAGTATTTTCCTCCTTGAATTTGACTAATTTCCTTTTGAAGCTATCCAACCTGATGGCTAGTATACACTTTGCAGTTGCAAAATTCAAATGTTAATTATGTGTTAGGTGAAGAGGTATTCTTCTGAAAATTAGTATCACTGGATGATTCTGGATTTTAATCATCTGTGTGCGGGGAGGGGAGGAGGGGAGAGATGGAACCCATTTTATCCATTTTCTCATACCAGGTGGGAACAAGCATGCAGATCTACAATTCTACCTATTGTTGAATTGTGAAGCTCTTTCACTACCAATATTCTTATGGATACATAAATGTATAATCTGCAGTAGTGCACACGGAGGTCCAGTTCCTCCTCCTCTTCAACATATGGTCCAAGATAGGTTTGTCATACCATATTTGATAGTGTCTTATGTATGCAAAGCTTTGGACATGTTTTAGTTCCATCATGCCAAAAACTGATTCCTGGACATGTGGGTATATCTGCTATGACCTACCACTTGCTGTGGGGCACAGAGGTTCAGCTCCTTATTCTTTTCCATCTATCTTTGCCAACATGGTCTGTCACACATTAGTTGATGTTGCCTTGGACATTTGTATTGTCCAAAGCTAATATTGGGTGCTATACTTCAGAATGTTTATTGTAATTGTCTGATGCTGTGATTGTGCATTCTGTTCTCTCTCTCTCTCTCTGCAAAAGTAATTATTTCATTCGGAGAATTATTGTTTATCTTGAAGAATATAGTGATATATGATATGGGCTAGCGCTGTGCTTAGTTTTAGAGCAGCATTATATTAAGTTTAGCTCTATAATCATTGTACTGATTGAGCTGTGTTTCTGTGTTTCAGAGTTTCACATAAACAGCAAACTGGAAATTAGTAACCAACTTCAGTATTCTATGAACAAATGCTGCTGCTAATACCATCTTTCCTTATAGCTGTCACAACACAGGTTCTCTCCTCCCCTCCCCTCCTTTTGCAGAGAACCCAGCATGTTTGTTACATATCTGCTTTCCTATGCAGCACGCCCTCTTGAGAGGCAGCATCAGTAACTGGTTGTGTGTACGTGCCATGGCTGCTTCTAGCAGAGTGTGGGTGTACTAGGCAGCCGGGAGTGGGTGTGCTCCGAGAGCTGCCTTGGCAGCCAAAAGAGGAGTGGGTGTGCTGCAGCTGCAGCTATCTGGACTCAGCAGCGCGGAGGTAGCATTGCACAGTCACTGCACATTCAGACGCTGTGCACCTGAATGCAAGGCCAGCATTGCCAGAAAAAGCCAGCCTGTGTTTCAGTCTATTCACTTATTATCTGGAGAACTGAATCAAGAATTTCTCCCTTTGTATATTCTCTGAGCTTCAGTCAGTTTCTGTTGGCTATAAATGAGTGCCTTTTGACTCCCTCCGCAGAGAGGAGACTAGCTGGGAATAGTATGAGCCTCCACCCCTCTGAAAGCTTTACCCTTTCCATTTGATTTCTTTACCACAGCCAGCTGGACTGAAATGCTGTAGGAAATCCTGATTACTGGCAGATTTCTGACTGTGTCATGGCTTTTCAGGTAGAAAGTGCATTTCATCTAGGGTCAGGGCGCAGAAGGATTCAAAGCATTTAACTGAAGATGGGAGCAGAGAATAGAATCTTCCTTCACACACAGATACACACACACACATTTTATATCATCAAATTGTATGCTGAGAGTTAGCCCTGCTATATTGAAAATGAGTTCTAACAGGTCAGGCTGGGCTGGGCCCTGAAACTAGTCTTTATTTCAAGAACAAAAGAGTTCTTTAGAGTAGATGAAATATGCTATTCTCTCATTGAACACTAGTCAAGCCTGCTTCCTTAAGGAATTAATTGTGGTTTTTAGAAAGGTTTGGTTTTTTGGTCTTGTACTCTTGTACTTTTTACAAACTAACAGCTATACTTCAATACATTCCCTTCATACACATCTTTTCTGGGATATATTTACATTTATCCCACTTTGGTATACTTCTATACATCAGAAATCTCACTGGATTTAATTTTCAGTTACAACACATAGACCACTTTTGCAAATGTGCCAGGCTGACAGCAGAACACAAACACTTATGTGAACATTCCCACTTAACCTTCTTCAAGCAGCAAAACAATGATGTGATATTTATTTTATCTCATTTCCAAAGGTAACTGTTTTTGCAATAATTAAAAAATGGCAGCTTATAGACAGAAAATATTTTGTGGCATAAGCTTTTGTAAATACTATTCACTTCAACAAATGCATGATTATCCTTAGATGGAGAAATATGTTTATCATGTATTTAATTAAGTGGACTACTGGTCACAAAAGCTTGGGCTATAAGAAATCACATAAGAAGTCACAGATTTTTGTCTGAGGCTACAAAGTTATTTATACAAAATTTACCCAGCCTAACCTTCTGCGGAAGAAAATCAAGTCAACATTTTTAGTTAGATGTTTTAGCAAAGTGTCAATTTTTTTTTAATTAGAGAGCAATTTGCTAATGAAGGATAGGAACACAGAGGCTCCCTAATTTGACAAAGTCCCTCAAAGTTAAAATATTTGCTGCTATATTTAAGATTTATTTAGCAAAATTCCAATTCTTTATTATATTGTGTTCTGTTTTATTAATGCCCAAATCTTGCTTTCCTCATGTTCAACTGACCTTGCTCTGCCTCATGTAACACAGCACATTCTTTCTTTCAGAAGCATTTTGTGAGAGAACAAAAGAGGCCAAACCTCTGAGTGCAGTCACTCATGCCTTTGTTATCTCCTGATTAGATTATTGCAATTTGCTCTACATGGGCCTGCCCTTGAAGACCAGCCAGACTTCAGATGGCCAGAACGTACTGGCCCGCATGCTCACTAACAAGAACAGCATCGGTACTGTCATGTTACACCACTGCTTCAGGATCTGCACTAGCTGCCAGCATGTTTACAAGTGCAATTCAAGACGCTGATTGCTACTTTTAAAGCCCTATATGGCTTGGGACTGGGGCATCTAAGAGACTGCCTTTCTGAAATAGTTTCTGCCTATCCAACCCAGATGGCCAGATAGCATCTACTAAGTCTCCACCTCCTAGTACAGTGTTGTCCAAACTTGGCCACTTTATGATGAGTGG